CTCGCTCTCCACTCACGGCAGCAAACCACTCGTTTAACGGAGCTGCCTTGACCGTAGCCATTCCTTTCCCCAGAGAAACACTGAAAAAAGTGACTTTAAAGTATTTTAAGCTTGTTATTAAAAAATGCAAACCTATACAAACATTGATTGCAGTCACTTACTATAGCTCACCCTACTTGTAGTACCTAAAGTGACTTTCTGGCAAATCATGCACGTTGTCTAACGCAGTTCTGCTTAAAATGAGAAGTCTCATACTGGTTTTCTTCATTTGTAGTGTTTGGAAGTGATGAGAGCATGGTGCAGCTGCCTGGGGGGAAGTTTCAGATGGGATCCAGTTCCCCAGAGAAGAGGAATGAAGAGGGACCTGTCAGAGAGGTGACGGTGAACCCGTTTGCGATTGACAAATACCCTGTGACGAACCGGGACTTCAGGTACGGGCGAGGGTCACGGGGGCTGGGTGGCTGCGGTGAGGAGGGTGCTGGGGGTGCTGGTGCAGTTTTTTTGGGGGTGGTTGGGTCCGAAAGCCAACGCTTGACTTTACCCAGCACTTCCATTGCTTGTGGAGGTTGCTGTATTTGGTGGCGCGGCTCTCAGAGAACTCTACCCAGACGCCTGAGCGTGTTGTATTTATGCCAGGGAGTTCGTTAGAGAGAAGAAATACAAAACAGAAGCAGAAGCATTTGGCTGGAGCTTTGTCTTTGAGGATTTTGTATCTGAAGAGCTGAAAAAAAAAGTCACCCGAAAACTGGAGGTAAATCTCAATTCCACGTGGGTGAGCTTCAGGGATGGTGCTGGAGGTGGCGTTGCTGATCACATCCCTCTCTGGGGACACCCTTGCCCTTGGTATTGATTTTCCTCTGAGCATCACAGAATATGAGGAGTTGGAAGGGACCTCAAAGCTCCCCCAGTGCAACCCCTGCCACAGCAGGATCACCAGAGCAGTCACACAGGAACACGGCCAGGGCTTTGGGTGTCTGCAGAGAAGGAGACTCCACAACCTCTCTGGGCAGCCTGGGCCAGTGCTCTGCTACCTTACAGTAAAAGCTCCCCCTCAATGCAGACCCTGGCCCTTCTCAGTGGTTTTTCTTTAGTTTTGGGTTATTTTGCTTTGGAAACCAACAGTGGGGTTGAGCCTGGGTTGATTTTTGGCCTTTTTCTGTGCCCTCTCCGGACACTGTCAGACTGGGCTCATGAGATGTTCCACTGAGCCGGGAAAGCGCAAAGCACATTTCAAACTACTTTACTAATTAAATCTTAAAATAGTAAAACTAAACAGCGTGGGTTTCTTGATCCCTTTTCACTTCCAAAACCAAATGCATTGACTCTGTTGGGAAGCACTATCAAAGTGCCTGTGATAACCAGCTCAAACTGCAGCACGGAACCATTTCCAGACTAACAAGCTCTCTTCGTCACACACACCGCTGTAGGATGGCCTCGGGGGGTGGTGTTTGCAGGTCAGCTTTAACCTGGTGTTGTCTCTCCTCCCAGTCTGCCCCATGGTGGCTGCCCATCGAGAAGGCTTTTTGGCGACAGGTGAGTAAAAATCAGGTGCAGTGAGTCCTCTCTGTGCTGGGAGCATGCACGTGTTAGTGTGTGCTGAACCTTATCGACCACAAAGGGGGAACAGTTAGCATCTTTGGTTGCTGAATGCTCCCTGCCTTGGTCTGTTCTGTCCTTTATTCCCTTTTCAATTTAAAAGAGCATAAAAGCAATTCGAATCTGTTCAATGCGATTTCCCCCCCTCCCAGCCCTCAGGCCCTGGCTCCAGCATAAAGGAGAGGCTGGATCACCCGGTGCTGCACGTCAGCTGGAACGACGCGCGCGCCTTCTGCGCCTGGAAAGGGAAGCGGCTCCCGGCGGAGGAGGAGTGGGAATTTGCTGCCAGGGGAGGACTGGAGCGTACGTACCGCGAGCTCTGACCTTTTCCCAAACCCAGGCGTTGAGTAATGTCAGTTCTACCTGATTTAAACTTCCACCCAGGGACGTTTTCAGAGGTTAATGTGGGGGAGCTGAACCCCCTCTTTTGACCTGGGATATAATAATAGTAATAGTAGTAGTAGTAGTAGTAGTAGTAATATAGTAATGATAGTAGTAGTAGTAGTAGTAGTAATAATAATAATAATAATAATTATAATAATAATGGAATAGAGTGGTCATAAAAGCCTGGTTAAAAATAGGGAAATGATGCAGATGCTGGAGTGACACAAGGTCACGGGTGTCTCTTCTTCCTTGGCAGAAAGGGCATATCCCTGGGGAAACAAGTTTCAGCCGAACCGTACAAATCTATGGCAGGGAAGAGCCTAAAAATCATCCCCTGCTGTGGGTGGTGTTTAACTCGATGACAGAGCGTGTGTGGTGCTGGGAAGCAGTGCAGACTGCCCTGCAGAGTACTGAAATTCAGCTCCTGGTGGATTACCCAAAACACCCTTAGAGGGAACAGAATCAGTCCAGCTTCCCTGGGAAACCAGGATTTCAACATGTCCAAGAACTCATAGATAACCAAAAATCTGGACATCAATTTGAAAAGGGGGGGGGTTGTCTTGGGATCAACTTCAGGTGGTTGATCATCTCTCTTGGCCAGAAATGCCGCGTAATTCTTGGTGGGGCGTTATTTCCATTAATCTGAGTGTAAACGGTCCTGTGAAGAGCAGGCCACAGCGGCGTCTCCGTGCTGGGTCTTGCTCACAGGGATCTTTCTTTCCACAGGGCGAGTTCCCGCGGGTGGACACGGCTGAGGACGGCTATCACGGCGTCTCTCCCGTGGCAGCGTTCCCCCCTCAGAACAGCTATGGTATGGAGCAGGTACCCTCAAAACCCCACCTTGGTTTTGGGGGGGGTGGCATCTGGTTCCTAAATTAACACTAATTACAAAATCCTGTGGTCGTGGCAGAGTTTCAGATATCATATGAGATCACATCGGCATCTTGATGGAACAGCCAAGCCCAGCAGCAGCACTGGTGGTTGTCACTGAAGTTGGTGGCTGCACTCCAATGCACAAAACCACCCCCACTGTAACTGCCAGTCAGTTATTTCGCATTTCCATGTGATTTACCTGAAAATCCCAAGTGTGTTGTTTCGAGGACAGTGGATGCCGTGCCCTCACGCAGATGGAAAACACTAAGACACATTTAAATGGGAGATTCGTGAACTGGGGCTGGTTTGCAATACAGAAAATAGCTTCTGATGCCCAATCTCACCCTTAAACCATGTTCTTGCTGCGAGGCTTCAAATGTTGCGCCCCCCTCCCATACTCCAAAGTGCTTTTGAAGCCCTTGCAAATGTGCTTTCGCGGTCCTGATGCAAACCCATCCATGTCTCAGGGCTTTATGATTTGCTGGGAAACACCTGGGAGTGGACGGCATCCGAGTACCCAGCCCCGGGGCTCTCGGCGAGGCAGCGCGCTCAGAGGATGCAGGTCCTGAGAGGCGCCTCATGGATCGACACCGCGGACGGGTCTGCGAACCACAGAGCGCGTGTCACCACCAGGTAGGTCGGGACAGTGCCCGGGTGCTGCTTTGCAGTGATTTCTTCTGCCTTGGTTTTATTTGGAAGGGGGTTTCAAGGCCTTCGTCTGTTGGTACTCAGGTTTTTTTTCAAGCAGCAGTTAGGAAAACACACTGCAAATACTGCTAAAAATTCATTCCTAGTTGCATCTCCAAGTGGAAGATGTTTCTAATCTGTTCTAGAGGGTCACGTTAAATGATACAAGCATTAACCAGGAAGGATCCCTAATTTTGGGTCTCTCTTTCCCCGTGAGAATGGGGAACACACCAGACTCAGCCTCCGACAACCTCAGCTTCCGCTGTGCTGCTGATGTCCCGCCTGGTGCGGCCAAGAAAAGCCGGACCAAACCCGAGCTCTGAAGGTCACTCGGGAAGACCTGGAGGGATTTTCTCCTGTGGAGATGAGCAGTAACCCCCAGCAGTCACTTGGATTAACCCAGCTGGTTTTACATATTAAAAATAAAGACTTTTCAGCCTTTCTGCACCGAGACGTTTGGGCACGAGCAGTGATTGGGAACGGCAAGCAGGGTGGTTTGTCTTTAATGTCCTTTTGGCTTGGTAGATACTACAGCTCTCCTTTCTGTGTCCATTTTAAATAAGCAGAGAGGTGCAGGGGTGTGGGACCGGGCCAGAGCTGCTCTGACTCCAGCCCAAGCCAGAGTGAGCGAACACCTTCCCCTCCTGGAAGGGGGTCCCAACCATCAGTCCCCATCTCCTCAGGAAGTCCCAGCTCCGTACCATCTGTTGAGCCTCCTCAGAAGTAACACGAGGCCCTTTGTGGACCCTTAAACATTGACAAAATGCTGTGTGTGCTCATTACTAAGCACACTGGGAGCTGCAGCTCTATTGGAGGCGGCCTCTCCGAACCCATCCCTTACAACAGGACACAGCCCAGGGGCAAATCGCAGCCGTCTGCTGGCTTTCCACCTGCACCCAACCGTGCCTCTAAGAAAAAGCGAAAGGGATCACCAGTTCGTTCGCAAATATTTTACTCGCCTTAATTCTGAGCAGATTCGTAGGCTTATGGCATGGCAATCAAAACAGCCCTTCCTCGGCTGCCAGGGTCAGCAAAATGGCCTTGCAGGTGTTCTCGAAGAGGGCGGCTCTGTTCTGCGCCTCCCCCTTCTTCACCCAGTGCCGGTAGGTCCTGAAGGCGCAGGCGTCGATCAGCTTGCGGATGGGCTTCAGGGCGTAGGGGTCCCGCACCACCAGCTCCCTGGTGATCGACTTGACCAGTCTGTACTGGTAGTAGATGCGGACGGAAGCCAGCACAGTCAGGCAGATCACCTGTGGCACAGGGACGAACGGGCTGGGGTTTGTGGCCAGGCCTAAAATGGGACCGGTTCGGCCCACGTGGCTGCTACCCATGTGGAGGAGTCAGGTTTCAGTGTTTAGACCTGTGTGAGTGGTACCAGCCTTTTCCACTGTGCCCTTAGTGTCAAAACAGTCCTAAATGTGTCACCTAATGCCACTGCGGGTACCTTTGAGCTGCGGCTATAGGGAAGGGAATGGATCCCTCTGTTTTCACAGAATCCCAGAACGTTAAGGATTGGAA